AGGTGTTAAATGAGGTTATGCAATAACAAAGGTTAACAGCTAGGGAACCAAGCCTCGTTACGTCGGCACATCATGTGACCAAAAGGGGGCCGGGCGAGTATGTAATAAGAGATTGGCCGCGCATTGGTGGTATTAGTAATCATTGTGCGTTGGAAGCGTAGTAAACGTATTAGGAACAAAGATTTTTTCTCTCCTGTTCTTTTATATTTCCACCAATTGTTAATTGGTGTGAAGGTGTTAGCCCTGCGGGGGTGGTCTGCTTAAGATACCACTGGCATGGATCTTAACCCGAGTCCAAGTAACAGTAGTACCAGTAGTCGTTCCAGGCCACCCCTCGGTCACCCGGGCTAACACCTCACCATCCAAACGGGTAAGTATGGTGAACAAAGGTGTTAATGATGGGGATTCGAACAAGACTATTACAAAGGCAATATGTTTGAAGGGGCCGAAGTTATTTTCGGCGAAAAGGTATGGCTAGTCTATGTTTTTGTTCAGACAATTGCGTAATTTGATAGTATACGATCGCGTTAGACTTTCAAACTCCCAAAAATCGCTACAATGTTAATAATGACTATAACTATCGTTTGGAGCTTGTTGATCTTTTATTTCTGAATCGAATGGTGGTATTTCTGTCTTCATAGCGTGCACTGAACCGAAGATATGAAATTTCTAGCCGTCAACCTTTCGAGGACGACCTCGCAAAGAGTTGTAATTTAATTAATATTAAAGCTCGATTCTTTCCACGTGTGATGTCTTGCCAAAAGGTGTCTTTTCTATTTTTAAAAAAGACCCTCTATTGATGTGTGACTTGGTAATATTAATTACAGTTGTATATTTTATTATTTTGTTATTGCTCAATAACTTTTAATTTGTTCTGAGAAAACAGTCAAACTTCAGACCAAACTTCTACACAGTTAGTTTAACTGGCCATCACTTTTAAAGCAGCAACAAGATAAAGGCAACGTGTACGGGTGAGTTATCAATGAAATAAATAGTTGGTTTACAAAATGAATTCTGTCTTTGTGGATAAAAATGAGTTACAAGAAATCTCTCCTGTATGCGTTAAATGCTACATGTAGGGATTTCCCCCGGTATATTCCTTCTCTTTTGTATGGCTGTTTGTTATACGCGTCTCTTGTCACTGGGTATGGCTGTTTGTGATTACGCGTCTCTTGTCACTCTAATCCAGCCAATTCAGAATGCGACGTTTTTTGGGAAAAACGTTCCAAAAATTATTTTTGTGATAATGGGGGAGGGAGGGTTCAAAATACTTTTCAGTACCTCAATTTTCAGAACACGTTGCACAATTCCAGCATTCCGGGACCCCCTCTGGGAAAGTTGGGCCCCCTTTCAAGTTGACTTTTTTTTGGACTGAGTACTGCCTGTGTTCTAGATGTATCATCCAGAAGTGGTTGGATTAATGTAATTGAAATTGGACCAAAAGTATATGTCAGATAACGCGTAACCACAAACAGCCATACAGAAGAGAAGAAATATATACCGGGGGAAATCCCTACATGTAGCTTAACACATACAGGAGAGATTATTTGTAACTCATTAATTTTATCCACGAAGACGGAATTCATTTTGTAAACCAACTATTTATTTCATGGATAACTCACGTAAACGTTGTCTTTATCTTCTTGCTGTTTTAAAAGTGATGGCCAGTTAATAAAACTACTAAATAAGTAACTGCGTAAAAGTTTGGTCTGAAGTTTGACTGTTTTCTCAGAACAAATTCAAAGTTATTGTAATATTGAGCAATAACAAAATAATCAAATATACAACTGTAATAAATATTACCAAATCAAAAATCAACAGTGGGTCTTTTTGAAAAAATAGAAAAGACACCTTTTGGCATGACATCACGGTGAAAGAATCCAGCTTTAAGCTTTAATATTAATTAAATGAATTAAGTAAACAAATTACAATTTCAACATAAACTGACCGATGTGTTTGACAAAAAGCATGTGCACTATTTATGTTCGAAAAGTTATAAGCACGACAAGTTGTGAAAGAACACATGTTTATGGGAAGGGGAGAGAAAATATACTTGCTATACTTATCGCGGCATATCCCTGATAAAATATAATTAAAACCAAATCCGCCAAATCAGCGGCGCCGGCTATACAATATATTATAGGCATAACCTGAACAATAAGCGACTGTGACAGTGTGATTTAGACCTAAACACTTTCTGCCAAACGTACAGCTTTAGCTAAGGTAGTTTTATAGGCCTACAATCGCGTGCAAAAATTATTGAGACAAGCAGTTTAATGGTCCCCTGCCCCCTATAACAAGTGGTTCTTGCCCCCCTCCCCCTTTTGCAATGTTGTTAAAACAATTTTGAGGCAAGGGTCATCTAATAATATGTTTTCAACATTGTTAATGGGGGGAGGGGGGCATACACGTGAAAAAGATCACCAAAATGTGAAGAGTCTCATTATTTTTGCACACGATTGTCTATATAGTTTCTAGTCATGATAATTCTAATACGGTTATTCCGCTTTACTGTAAATAAGAATCACAATAGGCTTTGTTTACTGTTAGTATATGTTTGGTGTGTGCCTAAGGATTTTCCCTATAGTGTGTATAAATTGTGACGTCATGATGACGTCATAAATATCCATAGATAGTCCATAAATTAAGCGAATTTTCCGAAAAATAACCATTTTGACGGAGTAAAAAATATATATTTTAAATACAGCTGAAATAGAGAAATGCGATATAGGATTGCATGTTCATTGAGATATAACTTGGGCGTTTTTCTAATGTATTTAATGTAAATTAATGGCAGTTTTTGTCCTCTTCGCCTTATGTAGCATCGTTTTGATAAAAATTTAATAAATCAATAATTAACTTTTTCGTAAAGACTCTTGAGTTAAAAATGTAAACAACGATTTGTCAATTTCATTATATATACTTAAGTTTTACCAAGAAAGATGAAATCAAAAGCGTATGTCCCAAAAGAAACCTCGATATACATGAGGTATTTGTTTCAAGACAAAGGTCTTCGAGGAACTATTAAAACGTTTCCCGAAGTAGAGTAAAGCAACGATTTATCGACACGCTAAACTGCCAATTAACGAAGTCGCGACATTTGACAAATCCAAGCACAATAAAGGGCGTCCAAGAAAGTTATCCATTCGTGACGAACGTAACATTATCAGGCACTTGCGTCTCTGTAGGACAACAATCGGGTACTTTTCCGCATCCAGACTACGGACGATGGCTGGCATCAGTCCTGATGTATCTCCCTGGTGTATTCGAAGAATACTTAATAGACACGGCTATCAGTATTTACACTCGCGTAAGAAAGGACTTATGACATGGAAAGATGTCATCCGCAGATATCGTTTTGCTTGTAAGATTAGGAGGCTGTTACCGATAGGTTTCTGGGAGCGTGGTATTAGCTTCTATTTTGACGGCACCTCATTTGTACACAAGACAAAGCCCTTCGACCAGGCACAAGCTACACAATCCATGGCTTGGAGAAGGAAATGCGAAGGCCTTGCACTAAACTGCACAACTAAAGGGAAAAAGGCTGGCGTAGAGGGTAGAACGGCACATTTCTTTGTTTCGATCGCCTATGGAAAAGGTGTGGTGTCCTGCAACCAATACTTCCATCGTTTTAAAGGTGATGATTTTGCCGAGTACGTACGGCTTCATTTTCCGCAAATCTTTCTCGACAGTGCCAATCCAACAGCTAAACGGTTTCTACAAGACGGGGACTCAGTTCAAAACAGTGCTGCAGCAAGACGTGCTTTCCAAGAAGTCGGAGCAGTGACCTTCGCTATACCACCCCGCAGTCCGGACTTGAACCCCATCGAAAATTTATTTCATTTGGTATCAAAACAGCTGGGACAAGATGCCATTGACAAACAGATCACGCCAGAAAACTTTGAAACATTTTCAGAAAGAGTTAAAAGCACAATGATGAATTTGTCAAAAAGTACTATCGACTGAATCATTGAATCGATGAACAAGCGTGTTACAATGATCATTGAGAAACGAGGAGAACGATTAAAGTATAACAATGTTTTTTCCTTACATGTACAGTTTATATTGGCAGTGCCTTCTGGCTTCAATAACTGTTTTAGATACTTAAAAGTGAGGAATGTATTAACTAAACTCTTTTACCGTCCATATATATTCAATAAAATGCTATGCGAAAACTCAACAATTTCTTGTCAACCGTGAAAATAATTTTAAAGACCTTATATATGTATACAAACTAAATAGAACTCAATTTCAACACGTTACGCACACGTTACACCACACGTTACGCCTTTCAGCATATAAGAATATATAGAAAGCTGACACGTTACACACGTTACGCCTAATATATTAAAGGAAGATCTATTCTACCTTTATAAGAATGGGCGTAACATGTGTAACGTGTCGATTTTCATTACTATTCTATATAAACTCAAACGTAACGTGTGGCGTAACATGTGCGTAACGTGTGCGTAACGTGTTCACTATTCTTATATATATTTATTTGATAGTAAACGTACAATGCTGGCTGCACAAAAAAAGTTAAAACTGTTCGTCCAAAAACACCAGTTCGCCAAAACAGCGTGGACACGGAGACAGATCTTTCTGCTCTGCCTGCGGGATCTTTCGGGTGAACTCAAAGACCCTCCACCTAACAGACATCATTTCCGTTTCGCGTTCGTCAATCTGTCCGTTCCTGCCGTGGTAGACGATTGGGTTGCTTGAAGTGGCAAAAATTGGAACGTCGGTGTCAATGCAAACGTCGCTCGAGTACTGGTTCTTCGGGGCAGGCAAATGTACAATGTGTCCTTCGAGAAGTAGCAGGAAGTCCTTCCAGGAGATGAGAGTTGAGCTCCATCAAAAATCATTGAGGTAGATTACCTCGCTTTCCTCCGCTCCCACCCATGCATATTTGTCAGATGCCGGATTGACAAAAGCTTTGAATAGGAGACACAGAGGATCCAACAAGAAGGTTTTTCCACTACACGCACAGCCAACGAGCATTACATTTCGGAATTTCCCCTTCCCTTGGTCAAAAGATCTTTCAACGCCGAAGCAAACACCACAGGATGGATATTGTTGTTCTTTAGGACCTCCCGTGCACACTTGATCCATTCCCCGTTGCAGCCATCGACGCACTCAGCACTGCGAGCATCACGAGGCAAGTCTATACGCGACTTCTTCCTATCAAGCTTAGCCCGTGCATTTTGCAAGCGCCAGGTGTTATCAATAAGCTCTTGGATGGCTTCGTTTGAGCGACACAAAATAAAATTGGCTAAGTCTTTCTTCCCTTCTTTGCTTTGAGTGTCTGCAAGTGCAAGTAGCTCGGTTTCACTTTTTATTTGATTTGCCACCAAAAATTCAGAGACTTCGAAATTGCTGAGATGTCTTATTTTTTTAGCCTTTTCTTGTTGGGCATTTGCATTCTCGTTTTGTTTGCGTTTTCGACTTTCTCGATATGCACGGATACATGTTTTGGTTCTAGGAGAACCGATTACATTAAGGTTGGGGTGATTGGGACTTAAAAACACTTCCGTGTCTTGCTTCGTGACATATTGATATGCCGAGTGATAATTATCGTGCGCGTTGGAAAAGTGCAGCACAACCCCATGGTTTTTCATCATCTTTTCTTTCACTTGTTTCCATCATTTCGCTCCATCGAGTTTCAAGCTCATGTGATAGTGTACACCAGAGTTCTCATGTGGCTCTTGGCAACAAGCCCAGTGCTCGACTTTAACTTTTCCCATTCCTTCGTCAAAGTAGGTAGCCACTTGCTCCCCGAAACTTTGCCTCGTTGGAAATATTCGGAGATCTGCTTGGCTGTACGTGACCAGGTATGTTCTTCGTATCTGGTTTGCAGAGGCTAAAGTATTGACTTGGAAATCATCTGTGTCACTCTCAGACTGGTCCATACTCTGTAAATAAGTAACTTTGTATAATTGCTGTATTTACAGTGAAGCTTTTGTTGACCATCACATTATTATTGATCAGAAACATTTAGCCATATTAAACAATGTAGCACAATCTTACCTCTTATTAATGCACAATTAAGATTTATTCTCAAAGTCTAAAACAATTTTCGATTTTTGCCGGGCACAGCTTTGTCCTTTTGGTTTGAATTTTCCAATACTTCGCCTAATATTTCACCTTCGTGTGTAAACGACAACAAATTTAAATAAATTCAAAATGGTTGTTTACTCGTACCCAGTCCCCCGTTCTGCGTCTCTCTAGTCCAATTTTTTGCGAGTTTCGCACGACAACTAGATCACTGGGCTTAAATCCGAAAAAAATTTAAAATTTTGCTCGAGAATGGGTCAATTTCAATTTTTGGCACAAATTAAATTAAGTTTGGGATCCCATACAGGCGTCTGCTAAGACAATCGCGTGCAAAAATTATTGAGACAAGCAGTTTAATGGTCCCCTGCCCCCTATAACAAGTGGTTCTTGCCCCCTCCCCCTTTTGCAATGTTGTTAAAACAATTTTGAGGCAAGGGTCATCTAATAATATGTTTTCAACATTGTTAATGGGGGGAGGGGGGCATACACATGAAAAAGATCACCAAAATGTGAAGAGTCTCATTATTTTTGCACACGATTGTAGGCTTGTTTACTTGAAGAAATAAACGCTTTTGATGAGCTCTTTGGTTAGTTATTGAACTACATGACTTGACGTTGATTACATAACATACGGTTATTCGGGTCAAATAGGGGTTACGAAAAGATTCGTCAAAAATTCAATTCTAAGTTGCCCCAAAATTTTATTTGGTCAATAGCAAGCGAAAACATATTTCTTTGACCTGGTTATGAATTTTTTGTCTGAATCGATGTAACAATGGAGATATTCGTTGCCTAATATGGCATATAATAAAGAGGTTCAAAAATAAAAAACATTAAGAAAATCTGTAAAATATTCACTTTTAAAAGAAATGTCCCAAAATTTCGTCTGCTACTCAATAAATAACTCTAATTTATAAAACGAAATCGTATTTGGTGAAATATTTCCATTATCGTGCAAAATAGAGCAATTTTGGTAGTGCCGTAAAATGACCTCTAAAAACCAAAAGTGGCCTGGGAAAACCATTTTCGACGTCTCTCTCCTTCAATATTTATCCGATTGAAATAAAACTTTCACAACATTAATACTTCATATAGGCCTACATTCTGACAAAGTTTGAAAGATTTTGAATTTTCTCATTTTACACGTCTTACCTGACTATTACAGACAACCGCTCTTAAGTTTGGAGATGCGAACGGCAACGCTATTAACATGTATTGGACCAGACGCTTTGGATATACTCGAGGAACTCGATTTCGAAGAGGAGTCACAAAGAAATAACATTGACATTGTCACGGAAAAATTCGAAGAATATTGTGTGGGCGAAACGAACGAGATATGCGAACAATATTGCTTTAACAAGCAGGATCAGGAAATTAACGAAACAGTTGAACTCTATGCCATTTTATGGTTTTGGAGATGACGTCATGGTTGTGTGCTGTGATCGGTTCATGGGTGGACCAATGGGAACGCAGCATGGGGGATAATGAAGAATAATGAGGGATAATTAGGATAATTTAGTGAGGGATAATGATGGATAATGGGGAATAATGAGGGATAATTTATTGAGGGATAATGAGGCATAATGATGGATAATGGGGGACAACGAGGGATAATTAGGATAACTTATTGACAGATAATGTGGGATAATGAGAGATAATTTAGTGAGGGATAATGAGGGTTGTTTAGGGTTGTGTATAGAAATTATATAATTTTTTTAGTTTAAGTTGAAAAAAATTTATTAAAAATATGTAGTTATTTACAATTTTTTTTTGCCAAAAATGTTTTTTTCTAACATTTTGTCCATATATAGGAGTTGTTCCAATATGTCTTTCTGCTCTTTAATAAGATCTAGTGCTTTTTTTCGTTGGTTTGTAATATACTCATAACAACTATAATGTTTCAAGTTATGGAGTTTGATTTTTTCTTTGCTACGTGTTAGTATGGTCTTTCTCACTCCCATCCAATGCATACAAGACTAACTCTTGGGACGTTATCTTGTCTTGGTCTTGGTTTGCGAGTTTCGAGAACATTTCATGTCGTGTCGGTCTACCCGCACTTTGTTTGTCTTTGTTGGCTTGCGGTGGAATGTTTGCTACACATTGACGTTTGTTTGGTGGTTTTTGGTTGGCTGCTTGAATTTCCTTCATCACTTGAATGTTTTTCTGACCGACGGTTAGTGGTGGTGATATTGGCGCTTGTTGTTTTGGGGATGGTGGTGGTTGAGGTGGTGTCGGGGGTTATTTCATTGAAGAGGTCGGGTAATTCTTCGATAAGGTCATTTGGGTCAAGGTAATTAGATATCAGCTGTTCGGTGGCTTGGGCAGCTTGTGTTTCCACTGTTTCCATTGTTGTAGTTTTCGGTGTTGGGGTGTATCGGAATTTCATGCAGTTGGTTTCTGTAGGCATTGTTTTGGTTGTGTATGGGACGACGACTGTGGATGATTGAGTTTTTGTGTTCTGCTACTTCCATCGTATAAATGCTACTTCGTAATTTAGGTTTGTATGGTTTTTGAATTTGTAGAAGTCTGTGAACATAAGCATACCATGATAGTCCAAGAATGTCAGAAAATCTTGTTGTTGTTGCGGTGAACACATCGTGATGAATAAACGTTGAAACAATTGTCTGTAGATTAAATTTAGGTCATTTACCATATAAGGGCGGTTGTGGGTAGGGCTTGGAGATCATACGATCGTTGCTCAATTACCTTATATGGTTAAGTTATGAAAGATCATACGATAGTTACTCGATTACCTTATATGGTTAAGTTATGAAGATTATACAATTTAGATTGATGTTACGTGTGTTTATTGAATTCTTTAGACGCGGTGGGAGTTTGACCTTGCTCTTCTAAATCGCTTTCATAAATATCTTTATAATATACAGCATTGTTCTCCCTTTCTAGGTTCTGAGGCTCCTTGATACCATATAGTTTTTCTAGGCATTGTACGAATGTTTCACCTTTTGACTTTTTCAATACTTTTCCCAAAAAAACCTCACCTTCAAAACCACCTTTACCCACAGGTTAGGCTTCACATCATCATACTTAACACGCTTCTTCTCATCAACCAAAGGCATGGTGTCTTCATCTGGTAGTTCACTCGAAAGATTCTCTGAACTACAGGCACCAGAACTAGTAGACCTTGATGTATCTGTGTCTGAATCACCATCCTGATTACGTTCATCACTTAGGTCCTCCATGCTGATACTTTTTCCAGCTTCAACCACCAATCGCTTACAACGTTGTCGAGGTTTCTCTGGATCTGCATTTCGCATTCTCTTTAATTGTGGTAGTACTACTTCGGAGATCTTATGTGACATAGCTTCTGTAGTTTGTGGCAACTTTTTCAAAAGCTCATCTGGGTTAAGGTGGCTCCCTACAGTTATAGTCCAGTTTAAAATATTTATATAGCTCAGACGTCATCCTCGCGACTCGCGCGTGGAATCGTCGTGGCCCGGTAAAAATCTTGAAACAAGTAATGAAGTAAACAAGCCGCGGGAAGTTGTTTTTGTATTTTTATCTACAAAGAAAACGCCAGTTTTTTATTATAATCCTAAACTTTTCAACATTCGAACAGTACGTATGTTGTTAGCTAGTTTTTACCTACATTCAGTGTGTTTTTTTTATATATTTAATACGTTCAGTACTGTATTTCATAATGCTCACAATGTTCAACAACAGTGTCACGGACTGAAATTATATTTTATACTGTCTTGAAGGCACTTCTGAATTGTCACTGAAACTTACGTAAACCCTGTCATTCAACTCAGTTCACATGTAGTTTTTTATCTGCTGAATCCAATAAAATTATAATGCAGACAGTTACGAGTTGTTTTATACGAAAAGTCAAACTCTACTTGAATGTTTTGAAAAGTTTTCACACCGATTTTCATAACAAAACTAAATTTAAGAAACGTTGGATTAAGTCAGTGCGTTATTGTGTTCTCAATGTTTCGTATTTTGAATACATATATCTTTTATTTTCATTTCAAATAAGTAAAAAATATCTGTGTGATACATATAAGCCAAAAACTCAAAGAGAAAATTGCTAAAAAAGCCAACTATAAACCGTACGCGTTTCGTGTTCCCCACGCAAATAGTGATCATGTCGAATCGATATTTTGTCACGTCAACAGCTTCAATTGGATTTAGGACTATTTTTCTCGCGTTTCCTTCGGTGAAAGTTTTTTAAATTTTGCACGTTTGCTAAGCATGACAATTCGCCAAACATATCAAAATTTCAAGAAATTCTATAAGACAGATTTTTTGTAGTCGTTATTCATGAATATCTCAAAACCGGCCTTATAAACATCCCTTCAAATTTTAATATGTCATTCCCCTTTCAACCATAAATCTTAAAAAAAAAATTCAGAAAAATTGACCGAAGGAAAAAAAAGATATTGCCGTTTGATTGTAAAATTAGACAATAAAAGTGCAAAAGATGAAACGTCATGGTTGCCATGGCAACACTAACACGGTTCCTATTTGTTCATATATCGACAGCAGAAGACTTCTGAACTTTCCTGGAAATGATTATATTGCCCTGTCTTAAGTGTTTTCAATATAAATTTGGTTCAAAACGAAGGCTACCTAAAATACTTAAAATTTTAGAAAACTGTAGGGAGCCACCTTAATTGGATATATACCACATGTTTTGAAGCCAGATATTAAATTGTCATTATTAAGTGATTCGACCAATTCTTTTAACAGCTTTGGGAATTCATCTTTTGGAAGAGAAGTTGAACTTGGATTTCTCATTTTCCATGACTTTAATATCGCTCGCCAGTTTCTCTTAAGTGGACCATAATATGCCACATCAAGCGGTTGTGACAAATGCGTACTATTGGGAACTAAACACACAAATGAGATGTTGTGTTCTTCACACAAGCTGACTAGAAAGGTTATCACCAATAATAACTTTTTGACCAGCCTTTTTACGGGCCCATGGCAAAACAATTGTTCTAAACCAATCTGTAAAGCTGACAATATCAAACCAGCCGCTTTTGGAATGATTATAGCGTGCCTCTTTGGGAGCACCAACTGTCCATGTGTTCCACATATTTATCGCCTTGTACACCACACACACAGGTAAAAGCTCACCACAAGCAGTTCCAGAAAACATAATACTTGTACTTCCCTTTGTGGAATTCAT